CTGCATAGTATCAGTAGCCGCACAAACAGAGGACACCCAACCACTCCAATAGATTCTGCTAGGCGTCAGCATCACCTGGCAATGATCTGAATGCTTGCAGCGAACTCCCGACCAGAATCGGAGGTGCAAACGAGTTGGCCCTTGACTGGCGCCCCAGGGCTCTTGCGATACCGGCTCGCAGCAGCACCAACAGCTGCTTTGAGAGCAGGCGCTGAAAGAGCTGCCATGGATACCTAACTAGCAGCAAACAGCTCGCACACACACACAAATTATATATATAGAGATATATATTGAATCCCAAAAATTAAAATAATAAAAAACGGAGAAGAAGAAAAAAGAACAGGGTTGTCCCAGTACTCTAGGTGTTCAATACATACTTCTGCAACCAAGTACGCGCACCCATCTGCAGTCATATGCATTTCTCCAAGCTCACCCAATTTCTGGATTCAATGTGAGAGGACAAGATTCTCGGAAAGGATTCAATCTTGAATATTCAATCCAGTGGTCAATTACTTGCGAGGTTTTACAACAACTTGAAAGCTTGTTGGGGCTCGCCCAACTTAAGTGTTGTTTGGGTTTGGCCAGGATTGACGATTCTCAGGAAAGACTTTTGTGCAATCTTCAATGTTGAATCCTCCATCCAGTGGCAAAGTACTTTCAAGGGCTTAGCGATCCAGTGGACCCGGCTTCAAGTTCTCATGCTGAAAACACTGCGTTTTGCAGCCTTTTATGCAGAGGATCATGAGGGGTTCTGCGTGTAAGTATGTCATGTCATGTAACGTAACGTAACGTAACGTAACGTAGCGAAACGTAATGTAATGTAATGTATTGTAATGTAATGTAATGTAATGTTCGCCTCAGCCCCCAGCCCCAAACCCCCACTGCAAAATTGGTTAGTCCGACCCCCCATGTCGCGCGGCAAAAATCCCTGCTCCAGCTGCCTCCAGTCTGCCTGAAACGAGCCTGGAAGCAGCCGGCCCCCAGAACCGGGAGGTCAGATCATGTCAGATCCCTTCGACTTCGCCAGATTCTCCCTGATCCAACCCCGCAAACCAGCGCGTCAAATTCCAATCAAATCCCCCCCTAAATATCGTAGAAACCAAAGCCAAGTGGAATCGCGCGGACATGCACCCACCCTCTAGCTTGGAAACCAGCTCACGCTTTTTGGCGCCGACTCCCTCACTTTAATAACAACACTTCAAGGCAAACCAAAGCACAGCATATGCCTCAAAGCCAGCCAAAAGCGGACTGGCCGAGGCGGGCAACGCGAAGCGTTTACAATAATGTAATGTAAAGTAATGTAATGCAATGTGATGTGATGTAATGTGATATAATGTAATGTATGAATGTGTATGTGTATATATATATACATATATATGTTCACACACCGTCTCCCCCCCCCCCAGTTGAACTACATGTCCACCTCTGCTCATCTACTACCTGCGCCTTTTGAGATAGAATGAATTATCATGTCGTGCCCAAATAAGACTGTAAATACAATTGATTTAGCTACAATCCCTGTTCGAGGTAGTTTAAGAATTTGAACCTCTCCTTTCCCTTGAAATGTCCACTTTGAAACACCGTCTAACAAGTTTGATTTTGGACCTTTCTTATGCTACAAAAGGGCAAGAATGTAAAGAACAAAAAGCGTATTGCGAAGTTCCTTGTAGAAGTCCCTAAAATGTTTAGCCATATTTATTATGAATTATATTTGAGAACTAGGTTCTATGTAAGTGTTATTGTCAAATGCTAAATGAATTGTGTTCGTATTAGATTGTTTTTAACACTTAAATTATATTTGGGAATAAACTCCTATCTAATTTCTTTTGTTAAAGATTAGTTGGAGTTTACCCGAAATTATATTTACATGTTCATGTAACTCCTATTTAGGATTTGTTTATTTGAGTTATAGTTGAGAATACAACACATGTTGGAAAACTATATCCTTACTAAACTATATTTAAATTCAATTCGAGTGGAAGTACAATCCTATTTGGAAAGGGTATCATATTGGGACATTTTGGAGGACTCCTTGCTCCAAATTATCAGCCTTTGGGGACCCAAATTGGAGAATTTGAATCTCCAGAATCTAGTTTTATCATCCCCAAAAGGCACTAAACCAGGGTCCGTGGGGGGGCATATAATATACATATATATATATATCAGAGAGAGAGAGAGACTATATTGGATATATATATATATATATGTATATCAACAATAGTTCGATTAATTCTGCACGTTTGAGTGCAGCCAAACCGCTCTCCGCTCACCAATATTGATGAAGAGGCCTGGCATCGCCTCAGAGTCCGGTGCATCCAGCAAACACAGTCAATCAAACAGCCAAGGCCAAGTGCTTGAGCGCACTTGCAGCACTTGCAGCACTTGCAGCACTTGCAGCACTTGCAGCACTTGCAATCTAAACGCTCGCTTCTCTCAGGCCTTTGCCTCCCATGGTGTCGCAGCCAGTTGAGCCTCGAAGGCGGCCTGCAAAACAAGCATGGTGCTCTGGCGCAAGGGAACAAAGGAATCACTGCGTGTGTCGTTGGGGACGGCAAGCTCACATCAACCCACAAAACATCGACATATTCTGCAGGGCTGGCTGTGGCTCTTTGACATTCCCTAATGGCTTGAAAGGCCATCCTGCACAAACCACGGCTAGACCTGGCCCTGCAATTCCACAGTGCTGCAATGCCAGCTCTGTCCTGCCGCAGTCCGCTGCCTTATCGCATGTACAAATGTCATCACACTGCTCCTCTCCATGGAGTCTTCATGTTTTGCTCGCATGATGCAAGCTGCTTCTGACAGGCAAGCAAGCCTACGACCTGCCCTGATAGGAGGACTCCGCTTGTCACCGAACCACGCACACGATCCACATGCCACCAATGCATCCGAAGTGCCTCTCTCCTGCATGGTGAATACTGCTGCGCTCAAGCCGCTAAAAGGCATTGGTCAAACGCCAATCTACCGAAAGGGCTGTGGAAGTGACCTGGGCTAAGCTCAGCTATCTCTGACCATCACACGACCGTTCAGCAGTGAATATCAACTTCTACGTGCTTCGAGCTCCCCTCCTGCAGTTGAAGTGCTCGCTCCCACAGCTGGCTTTCACGGCACAGCAAGATGCAAAGTTTCTGCAGGTCCTGACAATATGAGACGAGACAAGACTTTAAACACTGGCCCCCATACCTGTCGGCCCTGCGCACTGGCGCATAGAGCCGTCCTGGGGAACAGCATGCCGATGTTCCAGTGCTTCCACAAGGCTCCTGGGCAAGTGAGCGACAGCTCAGTACAGCTCACAGCATGCGAAACAACGCAAGCAGCTTGCTTTAGCACTCCCAGGGCAGAAGTGCTACAACTGATGCAAGGACATCTGCAACAACTTCTGCCACAAATGCTGCAACAAATGCCAGCTTTGTGCATGCCAGGCATCATCGCATCATCCCACAGGTGCTGCTGTCTCAGCGCTTGGACTGCCACCCTTGGATGGACAAGTGCAGGCTACGTATCCCACAAATTGGCTGGATTTCAATTGATCAGCGCCCAAAACCCATTGATTTGGGTTCTACCAGAAGGGATAAGAAGGTTTTGTATGCGTTGGTTCTCCTGGTCGGAAGTGTGTGTGTGTGTGGTTTGTGTGTGTGGTTTGTGTGTGGTTTGTGTGTGTGGTTTGTGTGTGGTTTGTGTGTGGTTTGTGTGTGGTTTGTGTGTGGTTTGTGTGTGGTTTGTGTGTGGTTTGTGTGTGGTTTGTGTGTGGTTTGTGTGTGGTGTGTGTGTGTGGTTGTGTGTGTGGTGTGTGTGTGGTTTGTGTGTGGTTTGTGTGTGTGTTTGTGTGTGGTTTGTGTGTGGTTGTGTGTGTGGTTGTGTGTGTGTGGTTGTGTGTGTGGTTGTGTGTGTGTGGTTGTGTGTGTGTGTGTGTGGTTGTGTGTGTGTGTGTGGTTGTGTGTGTGTGGTTGTGTGTGTGTGTGGGTGTGTGTGTGGGTGTGTGGGTGTGTGGGTGTGTGGGTGTGTGGGTGTGTGTGTGTGTGCGTGCGTGGGTGTGTGTGTGTGTGTGTGTGCGTGGGTGTGTGTGTGTGTGCGTGTGCGTGTGCGTGTGCGTGTGCGTGTGCGTGTGCGTGTGCGTGTGCGTGTGCGTGCGTGTGCGTGTGGTGTGTGTGTGGGTGTGTGTGTGTGGGTGTGTGCGTGTGCGTGTGCGTGTGCGTGTGCGTGTGCGTGTGCGTGTGCGTGTGCGTGTGCGTGTGCGTGTGCGTGCGCGTGTGCGTGTGCGCGTGTGCGTGTGCGCGTGTGCGCGTGCGCGTGCGCGTGCGCGTGCGCGTGCGCGCATATGCGCGTGCGCGTGCGCGTGCGCGTGCGCGTGCGGCGTGGCGCAGTGCGCGTGCGCGTGCGCGATGCGCGTGCGCGTGCGCGTGCGCGTGTGCGTGCGCGTGTGCGTGTGCGTGTGCGTGTGCGTGTGCGTGTGCGTGTGCGTGTGCGTGTGCGTGTGCGTGTGCGTGTGCGTGTGTATGTGTGTGTGTGTGTTATTTGTCATTCACAAATATACTACACTTTGTTCTGCAACCACGATGCAGCGCACGGCTTGTAAAGCTGGCAACACGTGCCTGCAAAAGGACAGCGGAAGACCAGGGCAAGATATCAATGCACCGCACGTATTCTGTATTCTATGAGGGCACTGCTGTTGCAAGCCTTGGCCGCGCCATTGGCTCCAAGCCACACCATTGGCCAGTGGCATGAAGTTGCATAGCTTGTGGCGACACTTAAGAAACTGTTGACGGGTATTCTATTCCACTGCAACAGTGGAGGCTCCCCAAAAAAAGCAAACGACTAACTGCTGGCGTAGGTGCTGCCTGCACCTCTTGTCCAAAGCATCAAATGTCAAGAGCCATAAACTTGCGAGATGCAGTTGTTGAAGGTTCAAAGACATCATGGCCGGTTGGGTTGCTGATGGCTCACCTGAGCTCACGAGTTCGCCTGTTGCGCAAATACGGTTTCCTTCCAAGGCACCTGGCGTTGCATCCGCCCTAATGTCACCAGGGCAGGGCGCCATTCGAGCTCTGTGGCCAGAGCCTGCAGGACACATGCGAAACCATAGACTACACTCTGCGAATTGTGCAAATTATGCCATCAATGTCCATCCACGCCATGCAAATGGAACACATGTCAGCCCGGCCGCAATCTCAGCTGTGGCACCCGGATCTGCATCCTGGCATGCGCACCATGCGGCTTGATCCACACTCCCCTCATGTCAGAAAATTGTTTGATGCTATGAAGGGTCATGGCCTTGCCAACAACATGCCTGTTCGGCTTGCCGTTGATAACGAGGGCCACTTGCTCATTTGAAGATGGTGTTTTCTTGCAGAATGCAATCGCTGCAAGCATGCAATGGCGAAAAAGCTCCCTCCAGCTCCTGCATAACATCTGACCGGATGCCGCGGGGATGCACTGCCAGGTTTGCCGGCAAAGGCTTGTGCATGCCGAGCAGGACCTTGCCAGCGCAGAGCTGAATCCACAATGAGACTTTCTGGCCAACTGCTTTCAAGCATTGCTTTTGTCCTTTCAAGGAGTTTAGCTGTGTTATGACGGGTTCATTGACCTCCTTCCCTGCAAGACACGGAGCCCAAACACCCGGAACGTGCGCACACCGTGGACTTTTCACTTGTTCACCCATCCTCTTGGCTTCCGCAGGACCTGCAGCAGCTCAGCTTCAGGACTTCCTTCTTCCACTCTGTGGTTATATTCGTAGGCGATCACCGGTGGTGCTGACACCATAACTCCCTCAACCCGAGGGTTGGCATTGGCAAGGCCGAATTTCACGCCACGATCATACAAAAGGTTGAACTCAAGATAGCGACCTCTGCGCAGAAGTTGCCACTGTTTTTGTTTCGCCGAAAACTCATCGTCTCGATGTCGCTTGACTATAGGAAGCCAGGATGCCATCCAAGTTGTGACCACTCCCCGGGCAAAGTCCAAGGTATCTGCATCAACTGGTAAGTCATCAAAAAAAATACCTCCTGTCCCTCGGTGCTCCTGCCTCGCTGGCAAGTAGAAGTAGTCATCGCATGACTCTTTCATTGCTTGGTAATTGAAGCCAGGGTGCCGGTCAAGCTTTGCTCCTGAGCACAGCTTGCAGTACATCTCATGGAAGGACTGGATGTCCTCTTCATTCAGATAGTACGGTGTGAGATCCGCGCCCCCTCCCAGCCAGGCAACTTCTTGACCATTGGCCGATTGTACCCAAAAGATTCGCACATCGGATCGAAACGTCGGGACCAAGGGGCTTTTTGTGTGCAGGACCATGCTCAAGGCTGTTGCTGCGAAGGCATCCCCTGCTTGCACAAGGACATCCTCCTGCCGTGCTCGGATGGCCTTGGCCCGTTCCGCCGAGAGATTCCCGCCTCGGATGCATGTAAAGCTGCAAGCACCCTTCTCAATGACACTGCCGCCCTGAAGAACGCGTGTGATGCCGCCGCTGCCCGTATCGACGCTACCCCAGGGGTCACAGCAAAAGCTTGCCGTCTCGATGTCCTCCAGCTGATGGATGATTTCACTCTGTTGCTGCTGAAGGAAGTTTGCAAAGCTGTCAAAACTTGCGGAGATGTCAGAGCTGGTCGCTGCTCGGCCCATTCGCCTGATGCCACGTGACCGGTGCACTCGCGGACAAACCCAGAGCGTTGGGCCATACACAAGTGCAACTAAAGGGAGCACCGCAAAGGCCCGCGGCGCCATTGCGAGCCTTAACGTTGTGGCAACCTGACGTTGGCATAAAGCGATCCAAACCTGGTGGTGAGTCAAAGCACCAGCCAATGAGATAGTGGCTTGGAACGGAAATCCTAGTCACAATGTTCGTGTAAAAGAAACAAGTGTGATGCAAGCTTAGATTGTTGACAAAAGGCTTCGAGTCACAAGCCTGCAGTACAAATGAATTCTCGCAGTAGCTCCTGTCGCTTGTGGCCGACCCCGCAACCCTCAGAAGGCTAGGAGCTCTTTCATCAATCGCCCCTGGCCCTCAGCCCGTGGCAGTGATCTTGAACAGCACAGCTCAAAAGGCCTGGCAAAGTTCACGTGAGCCATGTTAAACCATCAACTGCTTTGCTGGACAGAGGACCAATGCTTGAGGCGTTCCACAAACCAGAATCCACTGATTCCACCGCCTTTACAGATTAGACAACGCTCTGGATAAACAGATGCGGTCAATAAAACTGTATGCTACAGTATTTTATGTTCCAAGAAATATCTCTGCAACATGTTAAGCTCTCTGTGCAAGATGTGCTGCGTAAGTTGTCCCTTCTCAAGTAAGCTGTGCAAGATGTTCTGTGCAGGTTTCCTGTTGTTTCTTCTCAAGCAAGCTATATGTGTGCTGTATGGGACCCTTTCATCAATGAGGATTCATGTCCACCAACCATCTTGAAGGGTGTTCTTGACTAAGCTGTTGAACCTGTGTAAGAGAGCTGTGCGTTTGACTGAAGGCCCCCCCCCCCCGCCCGCTCACTCGACGATGTCACCAAGCCTGCCCACTTTCAAGCAACCAGCACTCGTTGACGTGCACTTGAGGAGGGCAACGCGATCTACTGAACCTGGTTAAATCAGGGGCAATGTGAAGTTGGTATGCTGAGCCCATCCCGTGGTGGACAACTGAAGAAGCTAACTGAAATTCAAACAGCACGAACAGTACAAGAAGAACGTTACAGGCGTAGACTTAGCCAACACCTTTTTTACCCTACACCTCACCAAGAGCCCACTCCAAGTGCCACATGAAAGCAAACTAAAGCCTATTGGAGAGCATGGAACTTGATGGACATTGGCCAACACACCAGAACAGCAACATCGAACCAATACACTCCGCTCGCGCAAATGGCTTTCTTCTGATACTCTATGTTCTGTAAGTTCAGGTTCGCATTCTACCCGTCCACTCTTCCTGGAGAATGTTGGCAAAGAAGGAACATACGGCATAAAGAATCGGGTCGAGATTTAATTTTGGTTTTTTTTTGTATTTTTTTTTGGATTAATTTGTTTTTCCCGTCCTGGCTACTAAAATGCTGTAATTTGCAGCATTCTCTCGCGAAATATACGTATTTTACGCTAGTCCGTCAACATCATCAGCAACGTTTTCAACATCCCCCGCATGTTCAGCCAACATTCCCAGCATCACCAGCAAATTGGCTTCCCGTATCTCATGGTACAAGTGAGGATTCAAATACGGGCAAAGTAATCCCTGTAAAACACCTAAAACGTAGCGGGGGGGGGGCGGCAATTCCCCCCATGATGATTGAAAAAGTGATGATTCAAGTAAAGGCGCGGGGGTTGGGGGGGGCGGCAGCCCCCCCCATGATGATCGAAACAGTGATGATTCAATCAGGGGCAAAAAGTCTAAAAAATAGCGGGGGGGTTGGGGGGGGGGCAGCCCCCCCCATGATGATTGAAAAAGTGATGATTCAATTAAAGGCGCGGGGGGGTTGGGGGGGGGGGCAGCCCCGCCATGATGATCGAACAAGTGATGATTCAATCAGGGGCAAAAAGTCTAAAAAATAGCGGGGGGGTTGGGGGGGGCGACAGCCCCCCCATGATGATCGAAAAATTAGGGGCAAAGAATCTAAAAAGTAGCGGTCGCATGATGATCTAAAAAGTGATGATTCAATTAGTGGCAAAAAGTCCAACAAATAGCGGGGGGGTTGGGGAGGGCGGCAGCCCCCCCCATGATGATTGAAAAAGTGATGATTCAATTAGGGCCAAAAAAATATAGAAAAGCAGCGGGGGTCATCACTTCCTCTGCGGCAAGGCCTCGTGGTACAAGTGAGGATTCAAACACGGGCAAACTAATCCCTGTAAAACACCTAAAACGTAGCAATTCCCCCCATGATGATTGAAAACATGATGATTCAACTAAAGGCGCGGGGGGGTTGGGGGGGGGGGCGGCACCCCCCCCATGATGATCGAAAAAGTGATGATTCAATCAGGGGCAAAAAGTCGGGGGGGATGATGATTGAAAAAGTGATGATTCAATGGGCAATATATATATATATAAATATAAAAAAGCAGCGGGGGGGGGGGGCAAGGCCTCATGGTAAAAGTGAGGATTCAAATACGGGCAAACTAATCCCTGTAAAACGGCAGCCCCCTCCATGATGATCGAAAAAATAGGGGCAAAGAATCTAAAAAGTAGCTGTCGCATGATGATCGAAAAAGTGATGATTCAATTAGGCGTGTAGTTTAATCGAAAGGGGGGTGGCGGGGGGCACCAGAGAGGAACTTGCGATGCTGAGGATGCAGGAAGCCAAGGCCAAAAACCAACTGGGAAAGCAGAGGATGCGAAAAGCCAAAGCCAGAAAGCCGCCAAAAGCCATAAAGCCAAAAAGCCACCTGCCGCAGCGGAACTGGCAATGCAGAGGATGCGAAAAGAGAGGAACTGTGAATGCAGAGGATGCAAAATGAAAAGCCACAAAAGCCACAAAAACCCACGTAAAAGCCACAAAAGCCAAAAAGCCGAAAAGCCACCCACCCTGAAAAACAAAAAAAATCCTTAAAAAAAACGAGAAAACAAATCCTTAAAAAAATGGCCCTCCTAAAGAATCGCCCAGGACCCCAGAACAAACCTAAAACATGGAGAGACCCTGCAGAACCGGCTTGCTGACTGCAGCCGCACAATATGACACACCTACACACACATGTTCCGTTGGGGATTGGCTCGCAGCGCAGCCAGTCTTGATTTCTGCACGTTATTCCTTGTCTCTTCCCCACTTGCCAAAGACGCTGAAGGCCACGACATCAAGGCTGGCATGGCAGCTTTCAAAGTGGATGCACTTCCACAAAGCTGGGCGGCCAAAGAAAAACTGTAGAAAAGGGAAAGGCCGCGGGAGTGCGCTCTTTGATTTCAAAAGCCTGGTCCGCGTTGTGTCATTACGTTTCTTGCAGTCCCAGTGGAAAGGGGGAAGGTCAAGTGCAAGCGTGGCAGCTCCACTAGCTCTACTCCATAAAATGATTGGACCATACAGTTGGTCACAGGGCTTCAGTCCTGAGATAATGGATAGATGTTAGAAGCTTCCGACTCGTAGTTGGGCAAAAGATTGAACCTGCTAGGCTGCGTCTTCAACAAGCATAAATCCAACAAGGCAAAAGGCAAGCACCAAATTCCGCGCTGGTTGTCATGTCAGTAGCGGGATATGCTGTTTCTCAGCGCAACCACCGGCCAAGCACGCGAAAGCATTCAGCCGTTTTCGATGAGATCTGCAGTCTGCACCTGACATCATCACTCGGCTTGGTTTCACATGTGCAATTTTGGCCGCAAACCAACCGGTTTCCAAGGTGCTCAGGAAGCTTGGAAAGCTACCAGCAATGTGGCCTCATTTGTTTAACAGTGTTCAAGTGTGTTTTAATAAGTCTGCTAAACAAATGGGTCACAATCAAAGCCTATTTAGTCCGAGAGAAGTCTACCCAAAACCAAGTAAAGAAAAGGGCAGTTGATTGTGGCTCAAATGTGAGTCCAGCACCGCTCGCATTGCAGACAGCGAGGTGCTTTGCCTCAGAGCCAGCGCCCCGTCTACTGCCAAATTGACAATGGCCATAAATGGCGGCATGCAGACTGAGCTGAACGCCCAGGCTTTCCAGTCCGCATATCGCACGACACCCGCCCAGGCCTGCATGGCACTGCTGAACACGTCTACACGACTGCACAAACTCTGCATTGCTTTCACAAGCTTGGGATACTACAGAGTGAGATTGTGATGCCATGATTCAAGCAGTCCTGCAACACTCGGCACTGGTGAGCTGTTCATGTTGGATACATGCAAAACATGAGCTGTCATGCTTTCGAGGCCCCTGCAGCTTCGGTGCTAAACTCTGCAATAATATGCTGACCCGCGAACCAACGCCTGGCAGTGTGTTTGTGCATACTGAATCAGATTTCTCCTGCTAAGAGGACTAGGTCTACACGTAATATTCCCTGCGTCATATGGATGCAGCTCAAGGTTACACAACTTCAGTGTCAGGCCTGTCCAATGCACGCTGACAATTTGCGGCAGAGGTCGCGTCCGCAAATTTCACCCAGACCTGCAGATGCACAGAATAGCCCCAGGCAAACCCGGACATACAAAAACCATTGGTCTATGCCTCTCAGAACCATCTCCAATTGTGGCCATTACCCCGTTGTGGCACATCTTCAAATTTCTGGGAAGAAGGGGGTCTTGCTCAACGTGTTCAAGCATGTCGACTCTGCAAACAAGCTGCATCGCCCTTGCTGCTGCCCTGGTCGGCAAAGACCTTTATGACCGAGCCATACTTCCTGCATTCCTGTGGCCAGGCAGGAAGATGAGCGCAAGAGACATTGACATCCCACTTTTCCATCGATGTTGACAAGAACATCATGGTGATGACGTGTCTTCGTGTGCAGATTCTTTAAAATGGGCAGGAACACGTAGGTGCATTTATGCTAAAGGTCCAGCAGCTCATTTTCATTAAGCCAGCCTAATCTAATCCATCCTCTATCTAACCTACTAATCTCTCATCTCTCCAGCCATCCATCTGTCCATCTAGCAATTCTACTCTGTCTAGAGAGAGTGAGATGGAGAGATGGAAAGGGATTAAATCACCTCGAATCAATGTCCATCACAAAAGAATTACCAGGCCACTACGACGCAAAACGGCTGGAGTGAAAATACTCCCCATGCGCCTGCTCCACGTCTGCGTGGATGTCGTTGAAGAATTCAGGGTCCGCCGCAAGGTTCACTTGCGCGGGGTTGAACATTCCGTGCAAGGTCTCAGTGTGAAACAGCTTGCCAGCGGTTGATGCGTGAGATCTGGGAGAACCAGCTGGGTCCATGCCTCCCTCACCCTTTCGAATATTGAAAGGACAAGGTGCAGACATTGGACCCTCTGCTTGTCATGCTGACAGCTTGAGCCTCTATGACCTTCTCAGGCTCTTGCAATGATGTTAGAGGGCACACCGGGTCCACCATAACCTGCAAGGGGCAATCGATTGCAATGTGAGTGAAAAGTGCCGCAGCTTCACGAGCCCACCTTCGAGAGGAGAAGCTGCCATCGACGATTGGCACCCATCCGCGGCTCTTAGAGCTGTGGCAAAGCCAGTGCAACAAGTTCCCCCAAAAAAAAATAACTTGCTAAAGAGAAGAAGAAAAAAAAACATTCTCTGCAAGCGTGGCAGCTCCACTAGCTCTACTCCATAAAATGATTGGACCATACAGTTGGTCACAGGGCTTCAGTCCTGAGATAATGGATAGATGTTAGAAGCTTCCGACTCGTAGTTGGGCAAAAGATTGAACCTGCTAGGCAACAAGCATACATCCAACAAGGCAAAAGGCAAGCACCGAATTCCGCGCTGGTTGTCATGTCAATAGCGGGATATGCTGTTTCTCAGCGCAACCACCGGCCAAGCACGCGAAAGCATTCAGCCGTTTTCGATGAGATCTGCAGTCTGTTTCTTGCAAGCCGGTCAGAGACAGGGCCAATGAAAATCCAGACGTGGCGATTTTCAAATTCTGGCACCTGACATCATCACTCGGCTTGGTTTCTCAATGTTTGGCGCAAACCAACCGTGGTTCCCGGGGTGCTCAGGAAGCTTGGAAAACTACCAGCAATGTGGCCTCATTTGTTTAACAGTGTTCAAGTGTGTTTCAATAAGTCTGTTAAACAAATGGGTCACAATCAAAGCCTATTTAGTCCTAGAGAAGTCTACCCAAAACCAAGTAAAGAAAAGGGCAGACCTATTCAGGTTGAGATGGGCCCCGCCAACCTTCACTTGCCCCGGGTTGATTGTGGCTCAAATGTGAGTCCAGCACCGCTCGCATTGCAGACAGCGAGGTGCTTTGCCTCAGAGCCAGCGCCCCGTCTACTGCCAAATTGACAATGGCCATAAATGGCGGCATGCAGACTGAGCTGAACGCCCAGGCTTTCCAGTCCGCTTATCGCACGACACCCGCCCAGGCCTGCATGGCACTGCTGAACACGTCTACACGACTGCACAAACTCTGCATTGCTTTCACAAGCTTGGGATACTACAGAGTGAGATTGTGATGCCATGATTCAAGCAGGCCTTCAACACTCGGCACTGGTGAGCTGTTCATGTTGGATACATGCAAAACATGAGCTGTCATGTTTTCGAGGCCCCTGCAGCTTCGGTGCTAAACTCTGCAATAATCTGCTGACCCGCGAACCAACGCCTGGCAGTGTGTTTGTGCATACTGAATCAGATTTCTCCTGCTAAGAGGACTAGGTCTACACGTAATATTCCCTGCGTCATATGGATGCAGCTCAAGGTTACACAACTTCAGTGTCAGGCCTGTCCAATGCACGCTGACAATTTGCGGCAGAGGTCGCGTCCGCAAATTTCACCCAGACCTGCAGATGCACAGAATAGCCCCAGGCAAACCCGGACATACAAAAACCATTGGTCTATGCCTCTCAGAACCATCTCCAATTGTGGCCATTACCCCGTTGTGGCACATCTTCAAATTTCTGGGAAGAAGGGGGTCTTGCCCAACGTGTTCAAGCATGTCGACTCTGCAAACAAGCTGCATCGCCCTTGCTGCTGCCCTGGTCGGCAAAGACCTTTATGACCGAGCCATACTTCCTGCATTCCTGTGGCCAGGCAGGAAAATGAGCGCAAGAGACATTGACATCCCACTTGTCCATCGATGTTGACAAAAACATCATGGTGATGACGTGTCTTCGTGTGCAGATTCTTTAAAATGGGCAGGAACACGTAGGTGCATTTATGCTAAAGGTCCAGCAGCTCATTTTCATTAAGCCAGCCTAATCTAATCCATCCTCTATCTAACCTACTAATCTCTCATCTCTCCAGCCATCCATCTGTCCATCTAGCAATTCTACTCTGTCTAGAGAGAGTGAGATGGAGAGATGGAAAGGGATTAAATCACCTCGAATCAATGTCCATCACAAAAGAATTACCAGGCCACTACGACGCAAAACAGCTGGAGTGAAAATACTCCCCATGCGCCTGCTCCACGTCTGCGTGGATGTCGTTGAAGAATTCAGGGTCCGCCGCAAGGTTCACTTGCGCGGGGTTGAACATTCCGTGCAAGGTCTCAGTGTGAAACAGCTTGCCAGCGGTTGATGCGTGAGATCTGGGAGAACCAGCTGGGTCCATGCCTCCCTCACCCTTTCGAATATTGAAAGGACAAGGTGCAGACATTGGACCCTCTGCTTGTCATGCTGACAGCTTGAGCCTCTATGACCTTCTCAGGCTCTTGCAATGATGTTAGAGGGCACACCGGGTCCACCATAACCTGCAAGGGGCAATCGATTGCAATGTGAGTGAAAAGTGCCGCTGTTTCACGAGCCCGCCTTGGAGAGGATCGCGCTGAAGCTTCTGCATGAGGGCCAAGCGGTCGTTTGCATCTTTCAGCATGCCCGGCCTTGTGACATGTGTTTAGACATCACCAATGAGTCGATGAGCAACAGAAACCAAACACGCGGAAACACAAACCCTTTCTGTAAGGCCAAAGCTGAGCGTTCGGTCCCATTGTGCTGGCATCCTGCGTTTATAGCCCGCAAACCAATCCAAAATCTTTCACTGTCTTCCAAATCCGTGTCCTCATGTAGGTTCTCCCCACCAATGGCCAAGTTATTGCCTCCCTGGCCGCCCTCACCAAGCTGCATGTCGCTTGTGGCCTGAGATTCGCAGGATCACAAACATCAGGAAGCAAGCTGCCTCATTCCATATTTGCACCTGCCAACCTGCAGCTTTCGCATCGCCATGAGCTGCTGGCGATACCCACCTTTAGCTCCTTTCCTGCGTCAAGGGATTCAGAAGCCAAGCACCAAAAAGATGATCAGCTTTAGTGAGGTTGCAAGTGCGAGTGAGAATTTCATCAGTTGCACCAGCAAAGCACCCGGAGTACCAGGAAACAACCACAAGGAGTGTCCTGCCAGCTGGAAGCCGTTCATGGCGGTCATGGCCTCACGTGCCTCTGAGGCATTCTTGAATTGCACGAAGGCGAAGCCCTGCAGGGGGCACAAGAAAGTAGGTAATTATGTTGCAAGGCGGAAATAGAAGGCGAGCGAGCCGCTCAAGTTTGTTTGGCCCTATTGCCGAGAGAGCCGAGCCTTGC